TTATCATATGATACAATACGATATGTTGCGATATATTATCATATGATACATTACATCATATTCTATGTCATGTTAGTTTGAAATCTATCATAATTAGGAGTGCACCGGTAAATTGACCTCGATTTCCTTAATTTTGGGGCATTGGAGATTGTTTGATATTTGCATGAGAAGCCGATTTTTACCATTTTTAAATTTATTTTTGTAGTATTAACAATTGTCTAAACTTCCATTTATATTTCAGAGCACTCTCATGGCCGGTTAAAACCTGTTTGTATAGTTGCTAGGATATTGTTCAAGGGTGTGTTTTTCAATAAAATAAGATTGGAAAATTGAAGGTACATTGTGACCTCATAACACCTGAACGTGTCGCTAATAAAATAAAATTGGAATCGGCAGGTCAGACTTATTAGAAATTGGTGATCTGCCAGAAAACTGCAACATGTGCGCCCCTAATCATAATACATTACAGTACTATATAATAAATATATGCTGTGATACATTACATTAGAGTGGGTTACGATGCATTACATAAAAAAATACTTTACATTGTATTAAGATATAAAGCATTAATGTATATTACAGTACAACACATTGTTATGATAGATTACAGTACTTTATGTGGTAAAACAATACAATATAATGTGAAACAACAATACAAGATAAAGGGACATGGATGTGATTTCTTCACTTTTCATTTTCTTTTGGGTGTTCCCTCTTCAGGGATCTCCACACGGAGTCGTCCTCCTCCATCTCACTCTGTCCTCTGCATCCTCTGTCCTCACTCCAACTACCTCCATGTCCTCTCCAACTGTATCCATGTATCTCCTCTGTCTTTTTCCTGGCAGCTGCAATTCTAACATCCTTTTACCAGTATACCCACTGTCCCTCCTGGACATGTCCAAACCATCTCAGTGTGTCTTCTCTAACTTTATCTCCCAGTTGTTCAACCTGTGCTGTACCTCTGATGATCTCATCCATCCTTGTCTGTCCTAAGAAGAACCTCAACATCTTCATTTCTGCCACTTCCAGTTCTTTCTCGTCTTTTTGTCCATGTCTCTGTCTCCAGACCATACAACACAGCTGGTCTCACCACTTGGACTCATTTCTGTCCTTATAGCTTCCTTCACAAAAACAGTCCCAAGTAAATCTTTAACTTATTCAATACAAAGATAATTCAACAGTAAGATGCAATCCACAATAAATGTACTTTTTTTTTTTTTATGGAACGGAAAACCGTCAAACTCGACGTGTTTTTGCAAAAGTACCGAGGTGCACCCTCTCATGTCAAGATTTCAAGTTTGCTTTGATTTTTATTGGTGGAAAAAACTCGAGGTGGGGTTCAGGATGGAAATGATAACGGACACTGGAACCAGTTAATATTTAGAAGAGCAGCCATACATGCTGGCATCAGCAGCAGGAGTAAAACGTTAACCAGTCGCAGTCCAGAACAAAATGTTTCAATATCTCAGCACTGGGTGTCATAAAACCGTGTGGCAAGGCTATAAAAAGATACACCCCTACCCCCCCACTCTCTCTCTGTCACACACATACACACAAAGGAATCACTTGTTTTATGGCTAAACCAATTTTAATTATCTTCAAGACGCCTTGATATTTTATGACCACTTTTTTTTTTTTTTTTGTCTTCAGTTCTTCACCTCTTCTTCATCATAAGAGTAAAACTACAATAAGCTTTGTAGAGTTCATCTAATTCAAAATATACACACAGTTGGGCTATTTCTACTTTTATTTTTGTTTTTAATCTCCGCAGCCTTGATACAGTATCAGTAGTGGAGAGAATGATCTTTTTCCTGATAAAGGACAACCGTTTAGTGTCTTTTCTTTGTCTTACCTTCTTTTTTCATGCCGGCTCTGAAGCATTTGTTGAGTCTGCAGAAACGACACTGGTTCCTCTTATCTTTATCAACAATGCACTGTCTGCTGAACCTGAACACGACAATCAATAATTGAGCATATTTCTGCAGAGCAAGAACTAATGCACAGCACTACGTGAGAAAACGAGCTTAACGAGCATGCGCAGATCAAAAAATATCAAGATATCTGAACATTAAACGTGTTTCTGCACGTGAAACCAAAAAGTACAGTATTTTTCGGATTATAAGGCGCATTAAGCGAAACAAAACAGATGAGTCGAACTTTATTCAGCTCATTCACAATAACCACATAAAATCGGTTCAAGGTCAGTAAGGAAAACCAGAATTAATACATAAGGCGCACCTGATTATAAGCCTCACTGTCAATTTTTGAGAAAATTAAAGGATTTTAAGTGCGACTTATAGTCCAAAAATTACAATAGGTGTTATTGTAGCTAACCTGTTACTTGCACATTTGAATTGTTTTTTAATGTACAATTTGCATAAAATATCCTTAGATATATTAATTAGTTTGTGAGTTCAACATGGAGACGTGGTTCTCGTTGTGTCTTGGTTGCTCGTACCTGCAGGTGTACACGTGGTTCTTTCGTATGGAGCGTCTGAAGAAGCCCTTGCAGCCATCGCAGCTCGAGGCCCCGTAGTGTTTCCCTGTTGCTTTGTCTCCACAGATTGCACAGTTGCTGCTCAGCCCGTCTGGACCGGGGTGGCTCGGTTCTGTCGGCATGCTCTCTGGAACACAAAGAAACAAACTCTCCGGTGAATGAACGTGCATCTCCAAACGTGAACAGTTTTAGTTCAAGAGTATATTACACATAAGAAATTGTTCAAAAAACAACTTAAAGAAGAGCCGTTTATTCCAAAAATCCCTCAAAGGATTTTTTTTGCACTACAGTGCACCTAACTTTTGAATTCATACTTGTGATTTGTATTATGCCTTCATTTTATCACAAACTAAACTTGAGTACCTCATTACTTATAACTCTATTTTAGTTGATTCAGTGCGGTTGGAAAGTATTCTGAATGTCTACGACTGCAGAGTTTATCATTTTTGCTTGATTTCTACATCTGTAATTCAAGATTAATCTTCATTAACCAGGCGGAGGCTGCTTTGCTGCATTTTATACATGTATCCTGATGCATGCTCAATAATAATTTATACATTATGATAATTGTTATCACCTGCAGTGATATGTTCTCAATGACTGAAACTGTTTTTACACGAGTTTGTAAATCCATTGTTCTGAGAGAACACAACAATATTTTATTGTAAATGTGACACTCAACAGATTATTGAGCATTCATCAGGACAAGATACGTTCACTTTTCTTTCCAAAGCACGTCTCTCTCAACGTATACTAATGTGAGATGTGTTAATGTTTGATCAGCTCATCACTTGCTGCTGTGACATCATTGTTTCACTGAGGTGTGTACTTGCTCTTCAGTATCTTTATGGCATATATCTCCAACTACTAAATACCTTTACTCTACTAAACTCCACTGGTAATAAAGACCAGTCATCATCTTTGCAGCTTTAGTTTCTAGTTGGGTTGCAACTTTTAAATCCATCTCAGTTTAGTGAAATAAACTTAATTTGGTTAATAATTTTTTTTTTTTTTAAATCCCATGCTTTGAAAGAATTCACATTATAGTAACAAGAGAAAACCATTGTCCTATGGAAGACTTTTCCTCATGGTGTTTTAGCAGGACTTTTGAATTTATATTGATTTATTGCAAAACAATGACAATACCAATATATATATATATATATATATATATATATATATATATATCAACATATGAAAAGCTTAAATGTGACAATAGGGCTAAAGTGGCTGCAGTCTCGTTGCCTAATTAACAGACATTAGACGTTTTAAAAATATCTGCATCTCAACTGTCTTGTGAGACATAATTAACTGACATTTCTAATTCATTTGAGTAATTTTATTCTAAAAAAAATGTAAATTGTGTCTTCTACTGATAATATTGATTTTTAAAAAGCCATGATTTCCTCACTTTTTGTTTAAACCAGTAATGCCTGACAGATAGAGGTTCTGTGGCATTTTCCGTCATCGTTTTGAAAAAACAAAAACTCCTTGACCCACTAAAGTGTTTCCTCTTTGGATTTGTACAAACTACTCTGGCTGCTCCTGCTCTTTAAGTTCCCCCTGCAGTAAATCTGAAATAGTTTACCAACTTAAAAAAAAAAAAAAAAAACCTATCATGTCCTGGAGTGGGCCCAATATTAAGCCTTGTGGGACACCACTTGATATACCTATGAGATTTGATTTAGCATTTTGAATTTAAAACATCTGGAAACACCATAAAATGCATGTTTGGTTAGCTACTAACTCAAATAAGATCCACATTTCATTTTGATAGTTTGACTTTTTAGAATAAAGTGCTTTTAGACCTTTTGCACTTTACATTTTGACATAAATTTGAAACTGAAATTTAGTTTATGTGGATATCTCCATTGTTCCTTTCCAGTCATAAAAGCTTCGACATACCATAAAATTATTGCTTTTCAAATTTATCTTGTGCCCAAATCTTTTATTAGTGGAATATTTGCTATTTATCTAACGTGTATCTCTCAGACAGCTGCTCCTTCCTTATTCCCTCAAAACTCCTCTTCACTCAATGTGACTCTTTTTTTTTTATTATTTTGACATCCGTCATTCTCAGTACCACTTTCCAGAAATCTGGTTAGTCTTATTTTGAAAACTTTTGACAGTGAGTTTGGTCATCAAATGCTCAAAGATCCTTTCTGTTCCAGTCTTTCCCATGAAGATTTTTTGTAGGCCCCGTTTCTCACTAGAACATCCAGTCTGCTTCTAAACACATCTTCAAATGGGGATGAAGAAAACCGTCATTAGAAAGTCCTTTGCTCGTTGGTTTTTAATGATTTTTCTCTAACGGTGCCAGTACTTACATGGATGGCACATCTGTATACATGCATATAATTTACACCCTGTCATAACGTATGTGAGCACAGCTTCACATCAGCTCATCATTTTCACCTCTGTTTCAAGTTCTTGTGTTTTTGTGCGTAGGTGTTCAGTATGAGTCCGCACTTACCTCCTCCTCCATAAAGCACCTCTGCATTCTCAAAGCCCAGCGTGCTGTATGATGGATCCAGGCCTTCACAATAGTTGGCCACCTCCATATCTAACAGAGATTTACTCTGAGGAGCAGCAGGATATCTCATTCCAGTTTCAATTTTAGTTGCCTTCCCTTTGCTTCTTTTTCTCTTCGCTCTTCAGTCCCTCTTTCTCTTTGTTTCTGTTTTCCTATCTCAGTTTCTGCTAATTCTCACCGACACGACCCGAGAGATCCTCAGCATAACAGGTCTATAATCTCATCTGATTGGGCCGTGAAACAAAAAGTAGGGTGGAGCTGGAGCCAAGACTTCTTACCTTATTGTACCTTACTTATCTGTTCTGTTCTCTCACACTAATCACAAGGATGAAGAGATAGTGGTGCAGGAGTTATTTCTCCCTTTTACAGTCCATTTTTTCACTATTTGTTTTCCTTTACGAGGCATTATAGCTTATTAGGAGAGAACTACTTGTTCTTTAGGTGCACGCGTACATAAGATTTGGTGAATGGATGCACAAAAATATATATTTTTGTTGAAACATTTGTTGTTTCTGTGACTTGTGTGGATTTGTGCTTGTGTTGGGATTCCTAATCTAATCAAAACTAAAGTAATGTCTCTATCACTTCAGGAGATAAAGTCTATAAAGATAGAGTTGGATGGAAAACTACCCTCTCACACACAGGCGTCTTGATTTTACATCTAACCTTTTAATATAGATTATTTATTTGACACATGTCTAGGATTCTCTGTGTAATATATAAAAAATTAAAAAAAACATTGTTAATCTGTTTTAATCTCTGGCCTCCAGAGGTAAACCGCCATATCAAACACAAAAATGGCTCCAACTCAACAAGTTTTACAGATATTTAGTTTAAATTTGGCGTGGTATCAACACATACTCCAAGCACTATTTGATCACACAATATATATATTTTTTTAAACAATGACGTGAATTATTGGAGTCCGTCTTTTAGCAAAATATCTCATGAACCATTGTGCAAATTTTAACAAGACGTCCAGAAATTAATCACTAGGTGTTCATCTACAACTCTTTAACTTTTGGAGTCAAAGTACTGCAAGACGGCTGCAGAAGCTAATAAACATAAGTGCATCTCAAATAATCTTAAACTACACACAAAGTTTACACATGAGATCAAATGGGCTCTAACTTTCTCTTTTCTTTTAGTTTAAAATATGGTAAGAAAGGTGGCTGGAGACGTGCACTCGTTCAAATAACGCTGAACTACCGTAATAATTGTGTGAAAGTTTATGAAGCGTTCTCATGTGATCCATTTTTCTTCCGTACATTTTTCTGCATCTTTCTCGTCCCGCAGTGTTTGTGCTCTTTCAATAAATCATAAATCAAAAACGTTCAGCTCTTTCAGGATAATCCTGCCATCACTTTTGGTATTGGTGCAACTTTAGCTGTTTGCAATATTTAGCCTTTTCTGACATTATTTTTTTTTCTCGTATAAAATGAATTGAGCTCATTTTACATCCTCCAAATCTTTAGATCTGTTTACAAACTTTTACTGCTCCTTTCACATTTTGTTCTGCTTCAGCTTCCTTCTGCAAATTTAAACTTTTTTTTTTCAGCTAATTTCAGCTGTTTTTTCAGCTGTTTAGCGTTCCTTTCAGATTATTTCTGCCAACTATATTTTTGTGCTTCTTCGAACTTCTTTCAGCTAATTTCATCTTGTTCTCTTTTCAGCTAATTTCAGCTTGATCTGCTCTTTTTGTCTAATTTCTGCAAGCTTAAGCTTTTTCTGCTATTTCAGCTAATATTTAGCTGTTTTTAAATGCTAATTTTAGCTTTTTTCCCCCAGATAATTGCACATTTTTTGCACTCATTTAAACTTTTTTCAGCCTAAATTAGCAACAAAAAAAAGTGTTTTTTTCCACTTCCTTCTGGTAATTTGAGCTTCTTTCTGCTTTTTAAGGTACATTTCAGCTGTTTTTTGCTCATTTCAGCTTTTTTCAGATAATTTCCCCTTTTTTGTGCTCATTTCTACTTCTTTCAGCACACATGTTCTTTCTGCTTTCATCTGCTAAATTAAGCTTGTTCTAACGTTTCACCTACCTTTTTAGCATTCTAAGCTAATTTCAGCCAGTTTTAAATAGATTCAAGTTTTTTGTGGTAATTTCTGCTAATTTCAGCTTTGCTCCTTTCAGCTTTTTCTGCTAGTTACTAGCCATTTTGATGCTAATTTTAACCTTTTCATCCAATACCACATTTTTAAGCTCATTTCAGCTCCTTCCACTTCCTTCTGGCAGTGTTTTCAGCTATTTTTAGCTAATTTCAGCTTGTTTTAGCTAATTTCCTTCTGTGCTCATTGTTACCCTTTTTAACCTAATTCAGCAAATATTTGTTCTTTCTGCATTCTTCTGCTAATTTAGGCTTTTTCTTCCATTTCAGCTGTTTTTCAGCACGTTCGTTTGCAGTATAACGTGACTGACTGCAGTAGTAATAACATGATATTTAATGTGCATCAAAACAACGTCTAAAATCTGTTCAATCATTTGATGCACGTCACGCCTCTAACATGTATTTTACTGGAGAACCAGAGGAGAAACTTTCAAATGCAAACCAAAAATGAAACGACCCCCCCATAAAAAACAAAACCCCTCCACCTTCCTGTTTTAGGGCAGAGATGCTGTAATCATTCTCTGAATGGGCACCGACTAGTTAAATATTCTCACCCACCACATTGAAGCTTTCATTGCACTAAATCTTCCTGAGTGTTTTAGAGTTTAATCAGTTTGTGCTTTGTTACAGAGAAGGCTGTAAATGATAAGAGATGGCATTACGGGTGATTTGATGCCCTGGATCTGTGACAAGAGGACCAATGAGGACTACAGTGAAGAGGCCCAGGGATTATATATTCTAGTAATTTATTACATAAAGAAGGCAATAATTGTACACAGGCTCTATTAGTTAATATCTATGGGTGAATAAAAGGGTTCATAAACAGAGGCAGGACTCAAGGTTGTGGGTGTGAGAGAGAGGACAGGCAGATTATATTTTAACCACGTAGTTTGGCTGCACTTACTGGCTCATCACATTTGCAGAATCTGCAGGAAATTTTTAGAAGTCTGAGCATTAAACACTCGTATGAGATTTGTTTTTCAAACTTTGCCATTAACTGCGTCTGTCTGTAGGCAAAATATATTGTGAAGCGCTGGGAATTTTTTAATGAAACTCCCAGGAAGTAATTACTTGAAGCACTTGTACAACTGATTAACTTACGGAGTCAACACAATTCAAGATGGCTGCCTCAGCCAACTGATCTTACAAAATGCAAAAATGGCTATAACTCAGCCAGTTATAAAATGTTGGAGCTGAAATTTGGTGTGGTAGTAGCTGAGCACTGCTCCCAAGATCTACTTCAAGCATGTCGCATTGCTCCATCTTTTTTCTTAAAACTGTGGCATTAACAGTTAAGATCAACCCTGTCTGTTAGCAAAATAGCTCATGACCCACATGACGGACCTTAATAAAACTCTCAGGAAGCAATCAGTACATGAACAAGAGATTAAATTTTCAATTAAACATGATTACAACAGAAAATCAAAATTAGCAAAACACAAATTACTATAATTTCATCACATTTTTGCACGTTGCGCTAAAATCGTCGTAGCAGCTGGAAGTCATCCTCAACACATTTATGGAGTGAACACACCTCGTGACATTGCAGAATGTTTTTGCATAATGTCCATTTACATGGTTTGATCAAATATACTTTAAAAATATAACATGAAAAGCTAGGGGATGTGTATTTCTTCATGGAATGGAATACTTTTTAATTTTAAGAGATCATGGCATTAATCTGGTTTATATATATATATATATATAAA